TCAAAAGATTGCTGGGATATTTTTAATATAGACTTATGAGTTCGCTTAGGCGGTAACAGAGCAATGCAATAAGACTAATGAATTCTAAATACCAAATAGTCAAAGCAGATGAGTTAACATACAAACAGAATGAACAAAAAATTGAAATCTGAGTTAGAAATTTTGGGTTTTAAAGTTTGTTCAGACTTCGCATGCATTGTTAATACATACACTGCCGGCAAAAAGTCTTTACACGGCAAATTTTCCACAATATATGCAACAAATTGTTTTTCTAATTTATTTAAACTAATTTTTAATAAAAATATGGTTCATTCTACAACAAAAACCTTAAAAATATAGTTTGTGCTTTGTGCAAAACTTGCGAAAATGCAGCACATTTCCACCTTTTTAAGCAGAATAGAATTTTTTTCAGTATGTAGTTTTGCAGCGCATTAAATTCTATTAGTCAAAAATCGCATTGATTTTTGGGATTTTTTTTGTTGAAGGTGTTTTGCATTTTTTCCATATAAAGAATTTTCGAAAAAAAATAGCCAAAAATCAACAGTAATACCTAGCTACTTAAAACTTGTAGTTGTAAATCTAACAAATCTGATTAAAAAGTTGAAAATCTGCATGAAAATTTGCTGAATTTTTGTGAGTTTTGCAATAAGTTTAGGAAGTATATTTTTATGTTTTTTGTCGTAGAATGAACCAATTTTTTTTTTTTAATTTGCGAAAAAATATTGGAACCAAAATTGTTGCATATATTGTGAAAATTTTGCTGTGCCAACACTTTTTGCCGTTAGTGTACATATTTTTAATTTTTTTAAATGGAAAGGCTGCAAAATAAATTTCATTAATTTTATTCTAAAACCAAAACTCGGTGAAAAATTTTTCTTATTTGTTTTTTTTTTTTGAACTTTTGAATACAATTCTTTTCTAACCCACTGTAGTTGAAAGAAAACAATTCTGAATTTAAACTAAATCGGCGCTTAGATAAAGGTTTTCGAAATATTTCGACTCCCATGCCATCTACCGACTAAATTATTGAGTTATTTTCTTATATGCCGGTAATATGTATACATTCCAAATATGTGTGAATCAAATCGGACTGCTGAGCCACCTAGCGGATGAATTCATATGCCATAGTTAGTCGATTACTTGAAATTTATTATACTAGAGTTGCCACCTGTGTAAAAATTGAAACAAATTTACCAAACTATTATAATGTGGGTATCCGACTAAATTTGTATATGTATGTGCGAAATATTTTTAAACGGTAATATTTTCAAATAAGTTGCCCCTATCTAAAATTGTAAATGAAGCCAGTATATCTACATACATACATATATGCCGACTAAAATGTAAAGTATGGGAGTACAGATATTTAAAACACGCAAATCTGTGTCCAATGAAATCGAGATATTTTTAACAGTGTTGCCACTGATCTATTTAAATGAAAAAAACGCATATATTTCGATGGTCCTCAACTTAAAATTCAAAAAATAAAAAACCCTTACCATTGATAAGTGGCTCATGTCTCTAATCCCTTTCTAATCCAAGTCTAATCTTTACTAAGTAGTAAGGATTACTGAAGTATGTAGTATGGATTAGACATGGGTAAGACAAGTATTGTAGATATGAGCCACTTAACAATAGTAAAATTTTTTTTTTTTGAATCTTGAATTGTGTAGAGGACCATCGATATGTAGGAGTCGTTATTGCAGAGGACCATCTTGTTGGGAGCCATAGACGTGGTCACCCAAATAGGCGACTGCTTACAGAAGAGCCCTCGCCCAGGCACGTCAGGAGCCATCTCTATGAACTGCCGGACGAAGTCCAGAGGTTCATTAAGCAGCCTCTGGACCCGTCAGCTTATCGACAGGCCCTGAAGGGCATTCACAGGTAGTCTGTCTCTAGTTATGTAGACTCCAGACCTGTGAATGCCGTTCTAGGCGCACAACCACCGGACATTAACGAGACGGAGCGTCACCTGCCTCGGGAGACTAGAACCACAATAGCCCAACTTCGCTCTGGCTACTGCAACAGGTTAAACTCATACCTGAGCAGACTAAACGAAGATGGACCAAATGAGTGTCCGGCATGCGGAGAGACACTCCATGACTCGAACCATCTCTTCGTATGCCCGGAAAACCCGACAACCTTAACGCCTTTTTCTCTGTGGACCGGCCCTATTGAGGTTGTACGCTTCTTAGGGCTGTCGTTAGTGGAACTTGACGACAACGACTGAGATATTGACCGAACTGGGCGGGGTTGTTGTAGTCGCTACAACAACAACAACAACTCCGAAAAGAGTCCCAAAGGAGCGAACAAAATATTTGCTTTAGTTGGAATACGAATCGAATTTCTCAAAATAAAATCGACCAATATTTTTTTGAGCTAACTCTCTTTAGATTTACGCCTAAAATATCATTGTATATGTACCCTACTGTGCACTTTTATGGAACCTAAATCTAAATACACCGGTCCCAGCATTGCCATTCACGAGATGGGATCACCAGCATTCCTTCAGGAATTATCGGCGATCTGGATTGACTAACAAGATTTTAACACCAGTCTTCCTTTTGTGGGGCTAAGCGAAAGAATGCAACTATGAGAATAATTCCACAATTTTGGAGCTATTGAAGGACAATATCCATAGTTAAATTAAAAATCATCGAAAATTATTTCAAAAGAATTTGGCCCTGCAAAAGGTCTCTAGGGGCATTCAAGTAATATCATTTTCCGCTAATACAGCAAGGCATAGCTGAAACTTTAGTTTGAGAGAAATTTTAATATTCCGTGGTTTCTATCTTTGCTTTTCCAAGGAGGCAGATAACTCTGAACAATAACTCAAATATTCCATAATATGTAATATGAGATACAGATAGAAACAAGGGCTACAAGAAGGGGGTCGCAAAGAAAAGTAGAACAAAGAGCGACCTTAGAGTACATAACAAAAAAACGAGCAAATGGCTTACGAGAATAATTCCCAACAAAAATAAAGTGGGATGTCTTTTATGCCACTCTAACCGACGGATCATGAATATAAAATCCAACGCTTCAAATGAAGGATTTTTTTTTTAATTTGAAAGAATTAAATGAGGATTACAACTTAGGCGCATTCGAAACATTGTTGCTCAAAATTAACCTATTTAAAAAGAAGGAATTAACATAAACTAAATTTGTAGATTTCGAATTCATCAATAATATATTGACTGCTGAGTGGAAGATCGACCTATCTCGGCAGCCAGTTCGAAAACGTCTTATCTCAAAAAACTTTTCAAAAACTCCCTATTTCAGAATTTTATTGAAAAACATCCTATCTCAGAATTTGGTTCAAAAACGCCCTATCTAACTTCAAAATGTGCTGATATATTTAGGGCATTTTTGAATCGGCAGCTGAGATAGGGCGTTTTTGAAACGAGTTCTGAAATAGGACGTTCTTCAACCATATTCTGAGATAGGATGTTTTTCAATAAAATCCTGAAATAGAGCGTTCGCGAAAAGTTTTTTAAGATAAGACGTTTTCGAATTGGCTGCCGAGATAGGTCAATATTCTACTCAGCAGTCGATATAGACCGTCAAGATACTTTTTAAAATTTTCTATTGATGCAGAAATGCATCTTGGTGTTTTAAGGGCAAAAAAAAACTTAAAAAAAAATCTGCTTACGTCATTTTCACGGTTATGACTCCATATATTAATGCCGGTCAGTAAATATCCTAAAAAAAAATCAACGCAGGGGCCCTTGAAAATTCTGGAGTTTTCACAAAACGACTTTTTCTGCTAATGTAAATAAATAAAACAAATAATTCAAATTTTTTAAGGTTAAATATTTTCACATTTTATAATTCAAATGTTCACTTTAATCAAAACCAAAAATAGTCGAACAAATTAAATTTAAATATAAACAAGAAAACAAACAAAAAATCTATCGGTTATTAATAAATTATGCATAGGTACATATTGTTAAATAAAAACTAAAATTAAAGTAAAGAAAAAAATAATAAACCACACACATACTATACATGGGTATGCCATTTTAATATCTACCCGTACATACATACACAACAATGACAACAATTATTTTGATATTAGATATTATTATTAGTAGGGGTGAATTGCGAACACATCTATGCAAATACAAACTGAATTGTAGGTGTTTATAAGAATGCATTTTTAATAAATTGAAAAGAAAAATATTTTCTAGCGAAAGCATGTGCTTATAGCTAAGTTATTATTATCATTATTATTATTTTTTTGTTTCCCCGACTTATTCAATAGCATGAAAACACAGCTTAAGTACTAGTGATGCTTATGCGATGATTTTAAAATTGTTACGCAGCAAAAACGAGTATAAAGGCTTGTTTACACTATGAAAAATTCTATGGAGTGTTTAAGGAATTAAGAGTGTTTCC